GTTTTTTATTTAATAATATTATACATTAACTTAATAGTTTCTTTAGTAAGACTTCGAGCGACTAACTTAAAATTATTAACATTTTATTTTATTATTTTTTATTAACACATTAAATAAATATCAGATATAAAGGATGATTAATTTGAGATATCTGATCATTATTTTAAAACCTTAAAAATGCAATTCATGATTAAACAAATGCTAATTTTTTGTAAAAAATATATTGAATCTAAATAAAATGATTCATGTTTTTAGATATCTACATCCACCTATATTTTCAACTACTGTAATATAATCTATAACTTTCAAATATGTCTGTAAAAGTGGCATTTTACCTAATATTTCATAACTTCCATATAATAGAGTATTATCAACTTATGACACTTACTTTTTATAAAGAAATTTTTTATACTTGTTTGGACCTTGGAAATATTTAGAGGATGAGGCTTGGTATTAAATTTGAAAGTGGATTAGTGATTTTGAACTCGGCTAATTACAATATTAAATTTGTAAATTTTCAATTAATAAATTATTTTATTTATTTAATTAGGGTTATAAAAAAAATTTAAATTAAAAATCAATTAAACTTCAACTGTTAATGCAAAATTGATATTTGGACATTATGATTGATATTCCAATTTTAGCATAGAATTTGATTGTGCAAGCTGACATAGTGAATATATAATTTATATTAATATAATCTAATAATTAAAATAAAACTTATTTACTTATTAATTTTTAAATAATAACATATATATATATATATATATAATACTTAATAGATTTATAAGAAATTGTTCCGGAGGCTATCACAATAAATTTATTTTTATTTCAGGGGGCTATTCAAAGTTTTCAGGGGGCTCGAGCCCCTGCTATCTCCCCACTCTCTATTGACGCTTCTGGTTGATTTATAGATTTTTTTTGTAACATAATTTCCTTTTGAAAACACACAGAGTTCTTTTGCAAACAGAGTGTCATTATCTAATATCAAAGTGACTACTCTGGTCTTAATTGTAAAAAAGAGGTTATATGATTGAATAACACTATGTAATTAAATAATCTTTATAAGAAAAGTATAATAATTTTTGTAATGTATAATTCAATAATATATTAAATTTATTTTTAATCATACTCTCCAACCAATCTAGATACCTTTTCATATTATAACCACCCACACCCATTTCGCGATCACTGACTTTGGATATGGATTGGACAGAAAATTTTTTATATACATTGTTATTTATTATAAACGTCGAAGACAATACTCTTAATATTATACCAGAAATAAATTTGATTTTATAGACTTTATAATTTATATAATATAAAATGATAATTATGACATATGATAAAATGTTTGATCATTTGGGAGCCATATTAATTCATCCTATTTATATATATTTAATAGGATAACAGGGGATCCAGCAATTTTTTATAAAGGTTACTCTTAAGTGAGTAGCAAGTAAAAGTAATCCTATTTCAATATGGAAATTGGGCAAACTAAACGATCAGTCTATGTTATATTAGAAGTCTATGGATTAACTAGTAAATATTTTTTTTTATAATTATTACTTCAAATTATGTTGAATAAAAAATAATATAATGAACAATCGTCTATCTTTTTAAAATATTTATAAAGAATATTTGCAATAGACTAATGATTAAAGTGCCATATCCCCTAAGCCTGAGCTATGCCCAACTTGAAAGTTTGCAAATTTATTAATTAATCTTATATCTATCTATACACAAAATAAATTTGAGAGAAAAATAAAACACAAATTTGATTTAATCCAGTTTCTGTTATTTATAATTTTTTAACGATATTTAATATTATTTAAGGCCTGCCATTAGGCTATATAAAGAAATTTAAATGACGCTTCTAACTTAATTATATCCAAAAAAGATCTAAAATTAAAATGAGGGCATTCTGCCAATGTCCAATTTTTTCGATATTAAGAGACTCATATTTCAGCCGCTGTTTCGGAGGACTATAATATATATAATATCTATGAAATTTTTTTAGGAAAAAATTTTAGGGAGCCGGGTCAAATTTCTTGTTGATTTGTCATGGAATTCACAAAATAAATAGAATAGAAGCTCTAATGGAGTCAAAATGCTAGAGTATGGTGAGTGTAACTGGGCTTAGATCCGATCCATATTAAATAAATATTATCTACCCAAGTTCGACTAGGCTCTAAATATTTTTTTATTTTTAATCCCGAGCCCGCCATATGTTTTTAAGCTCGATTCAGACTCGAGTTTTTTTTAGCTAGGCCTGCCCGGTTCAAAATTTTTAATAAGAAAACATTAATCAAACTTATTTTTATGAAGATTGAAGTTTTTTTTTTAAAAAAAATCAAATATAATTTACTTTTTCCTTATCACGATTAAATTGTAATATATAGTATTTTTATTCTGAATAAAACAAAGACAAAAAAAAACATAATTTTATATCTTAATTAATTATTTTTAAACAATATATTTTTCAAACTCGGGAGCTGAGGCGTCGGGCCGACTTGCTAGACTCTAACTGTGTGCCGGGAAAAGATGCACGTTAAACAGATGCGAACGCTTTAAAATGGTCGGGATCAAATGCTATAAACGAAGCCACAGTAAAACTGGAGAACTTTTTACAATTTTTTTTCCTAAAAAATAAAATAAAATAGGAAATATTTTTTTTATTGAAATTAATGTGCACGAAGTAGTGTTGTTAAACGGCTCGTTTTGAGCCTATTTTTCAAAACGGCTAACTCAATATTTTAGCCAGAAAAATATTACGTAGAAGCTTTAATTTAATTTTTTCGAAATAAATAACGCCTATATTATTAACAGTGACTATGAGAAAGTTTTATTGTTAGTTTACTTTTAAAAATCCTTTTTAAGCGGTATTGGTATTATATTTTAAAATCAGTAAAATTTAATAGTGATTGAAAACATTAAAAAAATATTTTTTCCCCTGCTTTTAAAAAACAAATTATAATAAAATCTGTTTTTTTTGAGGTTAAAATGGAATATTTTTTTTACATCACGATGTCTAGTGTTTATTAAATAAAATTAAATCAATTAACAATTTAAATAATTATTAAATGGACATATTTTGACCTACGATTATTTTGATAAAATTGAAAAAACTGGCACCCGTTTGACTTGATATAGGCAATAATCGTATTTCCAAGATTCCAGCTTCTCCTGAGACCCGGAGCTTGACCAAGGGGAAAGGAATTTTCGTAAATTTTATTTTAAGCTAATAACCTCCATCCCCCCCTCTTCTCAAAAAAATCTATACTATGATATCACTATAAAGATTAATTGGCTATAATTCAAAATTTTAAGAAAAAAGCAGCATTATATTTAAAAAAAAGGTGAAAACCCAAAATTATTTTTATAAAACTCTAATATAGCCAAAGACCTACAATATGTGAAAACCTCCAATATAATTTACAGGTAAAACCCCCATCTATTAATGACCCCCCCCTCTTCCCCCATTTAGCAAATGGATACACCTATGCCTTTAACATGTATAATAAACGTTTCAAATTTAGGGGAGTTAGTTACGAAATGATTATATTCCCTTCTTAGTATTTGGAGAAAAAAAAATTATTTAAAATTTACGATATAAAATATTGTGTAATATAAAAAACAATATAAATAAGATAATAATTTTCTAGCAAAATGATTATCCAAAATTAATATAATTTGTTTTTAAAAAAAAATCTTAAGGTCATTTAAATTATAAAATAATTATATATATATTTTTTATTACTTCCTTATTTACAATAATTTAATATATGAAAATAAAATATATTGTTTCTTATCACGATAAAGGTTAAAAGATTTTTCCCTTGAGTCTATTTTTTTTTTATTTTACCTTGAATTTCCCCATAAATGATTAGATTTAGATTTAAAATTGGAACAAAAATAATATATTATATATTTTATTGAATCTCTGAAGTGGTTTACTTATGAGAAAGGAAAGCAGGGATCGATACGATTACTCTTGTATTTGTCTCTAAGAAACCGGAAAGAATTGAAATTCTGCCAGGGATTATTTTCACCAGAATAGATGATGTTAATAGAAATCGACATATCCCGTGTTTACTAATTAGATTTATCATATATATATGTCCTCTACAGTTACATTTAAAATAACTCCACCAAAATTTATAATTTTCTGTCTTCAGCAATGATCATGTTTACTGTTAACTTAGAACTTACTCGAGAATTATAATGTGTGATAAAGATCAATAATTATAAAGGGCAAAATGGTTATTTTTTTTAGATTGCAAGTTTTTGAATTAGCATTATGTTAGTTCCATAAACTGATTACAAACGTAACGAATTCTATATAGTATATATTTTTTAAAACTTAAATTAATCTCATAAAATTTACATGAATTAAACGGCATAGCAGTGAGTTGCTTAATTATATTTCAAATTAGTGTTAAATTGTTATTTTAAAATATGTACACGATAATTGGCACTTTTTTATTGACCAAAATATCCTAGATTAGATAGAGGCTGATTATCTTATCTAAATAATTTTAAACTATTTAATATTTGAATGTAATATAATGGAATATCAGATATAGCGTCTTACAATAGCAGTTATAATGTCTAATTTAAAAAAAATATATTGATGAGATATAAACCTGTATGAACCAATTTTTCTTCTTCTAAAATCTGCACCAGGTCAATGCTGAAATGTGGAAGCACTGTAGATTTATGCATGTGCTTTAAAATTGAACCTCTGCAGGCACATGGTATATAGTATACCATTAAAAAATATAAACCTTTTAATAACTATTTTCATTTTTTTTGTGCGTGTGTTTTAAAACCCGGACATTAAAAAAAAAAATAATAATTATAAATTTAATGATATTTTTTTCCCCTATTTAATATCTTAAAAGCTTTTGTAGGTATATTTTTAATTTGACAAAAAATCGTTAAAACAAGAATAATCTTAAAATCACAATTTTTTAAAATAATTAAAAAACTTTTGTCAACACATTTGATTACAACTATTCTAGGACATTATCATAAATTTTTTAAATTCTTATAATAATATTTTAAAAACAAATTCCTAGAAGAAATATAGGCATTCTCTAGGATGATTACAAGTATAATTACATTTTAAAAGGGTAATGTAAATGATTTTCCACTGACTGTTTATATTTGAGCACTCATTATAGATCCCAGATGGCTTTTTCAAATGAAATAGATTTCTTAAACGATATATACTATATTAATAATAAATAAAAACACTAAGGTTGGATGCAAGCGAGGTAGGGGTTGTATTAACTCCCTCAATTATTTATAATCTTTCATGAAATCATTTTATTAAATGAGGAGGGACATTTCATCTATCGATAATATTTTTCTGGTAAATAAAATTACTAAAATGGGGGCTTACTCTCTAATTAGTTTATTAATTAGAAATACATAATAAATTCACATTAGGATAACTTTTTAAAACTTAAGTTAGTCTCTTAAATACTTTCATAGTAGGGTATGATCATAATCAAAAATTTGATTGTATTGATGCCGTCATTCGTATTCATAGTATAAATTTAAATATATTTTTTGAGGCATTAAGACGCATCCAAAGATTGAAATGAATTTATTTATTAAGAATTATATTACAACTTTTTATCTTTCATGACAAAATTTACAGAATTTGCACAAGTTGTATGAACTACCATATTTGTTCTTTAATATGCTGGTGCATTTATCGTATTATATGGTAGATGTAGGTAAATGACAGGGGTTTTATAAAAAAGATTCGGAGAGAGAAATGTGATTATTAGCTAAGATTCTGACATCTATTCATATTCCTTATGTTTCATTAGGGATGCGTAATCGTCTAATTATTGTTAACTCCAAAACGACTTAGCCGAGTTTTTAGGGGGTAAAAAATGGCTAATCCTATTTCGGTTTAGACGAAAAAAAAAATGACTAAAACTAATTAGTCAAAAATTGGGCATCGGCTATGGAGTTCGGCTAATCGCCCGTCTTACGCAATAAATATAGATAATTGTAATAAATATAAATTAAGGCTAGGCTTAGTGGTGTGCGTAACTCTGATGGACGGCTAGTTGAACTTCTTAGCCGATGCCTAATTTTCGACTTAATTGTTTTAAGGGATTTTTTGGTTAAGCCTAATTTTAATTAGGTATGGACGATTCAGGCGAAGTTTTTTAGCTGATAAATTAACACTATATTATATATTTATGGTGGTAAGCTTTCGTATTGCTATTCGGCGTGATGGGGTGGGTAACCCAAATTTACCCCACAACCTGCTTACCAAATTTCGATTTAAGATCCGCCCCTTTCGATAAAGATGAATCCGATTATTATGGTGGGGAAATTGAGGTCGCAGACAAGGACCCAAAACGTAGCCCAACTTGCAAAGGTTAGCGGGAAAAAAATCAATAGTATAAAGTATAAATGTTTGTCGAGATTCATGCATTAACTTCATTTAATTTAATCCATATACATTGAGTATATATATAAATATAATATAGGCAAATATTGCCAAAATGAAAATCAAGGAACCGAGTTAGCTGATTGGTTAACAAAATTCGGTAAAAGAGGAAAATCTGCCAAGGCTTCACAAGGGAAAGATATCGAAACCATTTTGAAATTGTTTTATATCGATGGATTAGTCAAGACGAGCAAGTTCGAAGTTAGAAAATTATTTCAACTGAATAATCAACAAAATTTTATTTTTAAATTTTAGCACTTTTTGTTTTGTTTCTTTAAAATTCGTAGAAAATTTTGTCATTAGTTCTAGTCACCCAACCTTCAGATTAGTAATTACTATTTAAAAAAAAATACTTAAAAAGGGATCAGATGTTTATATAACACATCATTCTCTAAATAGTCGATTAACAAGTCACATTATAATAGGCAACCAGGTCGATAACTATCTCTGTACTAAAGAATGATTATTTTAGACAAAATATATTAGGGATCTGCAATTGGCGGGTTCTAACCAGAACACCCACCTGTCCATTGTTTGGAAATTTTTAAGCCCGCTCACTGGTCTGCCCATAGTTTTTTTTTCTCAAAAATTAATTATCCCGCTGACCCATTTTTTTGAAAAAATTTGTTTACCCGTCGCCGAAATAGGGTTTTCGAACCAGATTACACATATGTGTAGCTTATTCAGCATAGGTCTTATTTAGTGAGTGGATATGCCTGCGCATTTCAAGATAACTTACAACCAATTAAAATGAATTATTATTTAATCATAGGCTCCAACAACGGTGACCTTAGGGAAGATCGATTTCGTTCACTTCGAAGGGATCGAGGCGACTTCATCTAAAGATTTTGATATGGTAATAATTTTCAAGGATTTCAAGAAGAGCGTCATCGTGTTCAAGAATCTTCCTATAACCATTTACCCCTTTCTTAAGAAATGGCTCAAGTTTTTATTTATATATGAAAAAATATCGGTGTGTTTTGAACTTGAATGAAACTAGCTCTTTATACCAATCGTTATTTAGGGCTGTTTCAGATCCACAAATTTTTCATCTATCCCATCCAATTTTATAAAAAACCAGATCCGATCTCTATCCCGATACCGACCCTATATTTGTATTGATTTTTATTTACCATCCCCCCATTTGAACCAATGTCATAAAAATATCAATTTTTTTTTCTGGATGGGATTTTTTTCAAAAAGTATAGACCCGACCCGATATTTTTTGAAAATGTGAAATATCGGTGCCATTGCCAATCCTATTTAATATCGGCACAGCCCTATGTTATTAGCTATAATCATTATTTTTTACAATGCAATAATATATTATGGGATTTGTAGGAATAAATGATAACAAAGCTAATCAAATTCTTAAATTATTTGGGGATTGTAAAATATATAGAAATATCCAGGATTTTGTTAAAGGGGGGGGGGGGGGTTGAAAGTATTTGTAATTGGATTTTCTTACAAAAATTTTAATTGAGGTCTTTAAAACTTTATTTTGGGCCTTTGGAAATATTATATTTTTATAAAAATAATTTACGGATTTTCATTTATTTGCTGTTTTTTTAATAATATTTTATTAATGAAATGACTCCAGAAAATGTACGGAGATCTATTCTGAAGTTTATTTCAATTGATCTTAAGCGTTAAAAGCAAACTTTTTCTGGAAAGGATTATTTATTTAATGATAAAAAACTATTCAGTTGTTATATATCAGTGACTTACACAGACACCTGGCCGGTAACCTGGGTACTTATTGCCAAATTTTATTCCAAACTCGCTTATTTATAATATTCAAAAAAAAAATTATTAAAATAAAATTGCAATAATATTTCATAAATGAATTAAAAATAATTTCGCAGAAGGATAGCCGAAGATAACCCATCTCAACTCTATGGGTGCCAAATCCTGCTATCATTATTATAGCCCAGTCCTTTCCCAACACCTCAATATATGGAAATGGGGGGGGGCTCATAAGAATATTTTTTTAAAAATTGGGTGGGGGGGGGATATTTAAAGAACAAATAAAATTATGAGCTTCATTAAAGATGGCCACTTTTATACTGGTTTTTATAACTATTTCAATTTTGTATTATTATTTAGAAAGTTTCCTGTCAGATACAGCTCAAGTTCCAAAGTCTTGGATTGGAAAGTCTTGATGAAAAACGTAACGAGCGATATAGCAACGTTCTTGGAAAATGGAGCCTGGAAAACGCTTCTAAAAGTTCTATTTATTATTGTAACATAATACTGGATATGAAAAAAATAAAACAAAACAAGCTGTTTTAATAAAATAGTTTTAATAATACTCCCTTATCTTATGGAAAATATAATCTACCAATATTTAGTTGCAAATTTCTAATATAACAATATTTTGTAGAAATCGGAAATTATCTCAATCATTATATCCCGATCATTTTATTAAGTTGAGTTTAGAAAATTAATTTTATAACCTTATATTTTTTGAGCCTTTTAAAATTAGATAAAATGATTTTGAAGCATATTATTTTTGTTTTGTATTTTCGCTGTTTTTTTATATTTAAAAACAGTTATTTTTGCCTTTTGTTTTTTATGTATTTTTTTGTGCTTTTACATTCCTAAATAATATTAAAGCGTTTTTTCCCGGGTCGGGTAACCTACATCACATACCGGGTAATTTGTTTCACAAAACTCGGTGCAGGACAATTATTTTTCTAACCGGGCAAAACCATTTTATAATTTACGGGTGGGTTCGGGGCCATCGCGATCGCGATCTCTATATTAATAATAATTTTTTTTAACATAAAAAAAAACTTATAAATGAATTTAATATCTTATACTCAAACTACGGTAGACATATTTGTCAAGAGAATATAAGTATTTCTGAAAAGTAAAATGTTTAGATGTGAATACCTAAAAACGTCAAAACCCGAAATATCGTATCCGAAATCTTATTTTCAAAACAAATTTAAAAACCGAAACCTAATTTTTAAAAAATAAATATTCGGACACGGATTCTTTTTCTTTTTTTAAAAAAGTTTTAGATTCTAAATTCTGGTCAAAACCGTCAATATATTTTATTTATATTATTCCTATATTAAAATAAATTCTTTTTATTTTATTTTTTTTGTGTAAAAGGACCCAACATCGGCTAATGACGATTATGAAGGACCAAATGATGATGATGAATATGAAGACGACGAATATGAAGACGAAGAGAAGGAAGGAGATAATAATGATGTAGAAGATGATAAGAATAAATAAGGTAAAAATATAACATCTGATCGAAAATTATCTACAATATAAGCCCCCCTCCCCCTTCTCACTCCAGGAATATATTCCTGGTTATACAAGTACAACAAATCTAATTTTCTAATTTATGAATTTTTTTTAAAATCTTTAATTAAGATTTTTCCCGATAAAATTTGAATATTGATTAATTCTACATAAAATTATTCAGTGGCATAAATCAGTATATCCCTAATTTAAAAAAATAAATTAAATTCAATAATCTGGATAAAACTTTTTTAGATCGTTTGAAAAAAATTTTATTTTAGGGATCCTTTCAACCAATTTGCGAAATACACGAAAGTCAAATTATAAGCGCTTAAAAGTTATCTAACTGTTTCTTAAGTCTTTCTTGTGATTTTTTTAAAAATAATATCCATATTAAATCTTATTAAAATTTATGGATAACTTAATGATTGATAATTTTTATTTTCGTAATATAATGTATTGCAGAACGCTAACCTGGAACCCATGTTAGACAACTCTATGATTTAATAGAAAACTCGGCAAAATATATCGTCTTATTATTTTTAAATATTTTTTAAATAATTATAAACGATCCTTTGAAAAATTAAATTATTATATTATCTATTTATTAGAATGATAAACTTTATTATTTACAAAAATATTCGGTAATAAATACAATTTCGGCCTTAGTGAATTATAAACTTTTAAATTGAAATCATGGCATAAAAAAAAATGTTAGTTATAAATTTAAAAAAATAACAAAAATCGTTTGGTTTATTAAAAAACACAAATTGATAATAATAACAATTATGATGAATGGAAAATTAATGGAAAAAGAAATAGTACATCACCCGGCATTGAATCATAAGCTAACGGAAGAAGCTAGAAAGACGATAGTTTATTTCAAAACACAATTTATAGTTCGCGATATGAATTCAAATAAGGTTTTGAAGAAGCCCAGTAATCAAAAATCAATTGTAAAATAAATTAATTTGAATAAATATTACTCTTATTAAATATAATCAAGATGAAATTGATATAAGGATGGAATTATTTAAGAAAGTTACACCGTAGACGATTCAAGCCTTATCTGAAATTAGGAATGCTCGATTTTTTCATGGAAACACATTTTTAATGATTATTATTAGTGTTATAATAAATAAATTGTTGAGTGTTATATGATATTAATGTTGTATTATTGCAATGAGTCAGAGCTTTTTGACTAAATAAAAGAAAAAAAAACTAATATTTATCGATATATCTGATAATTATTTTCTAAAATTAATAATTTGATAAATGTTTTGAATCGGGGTAAAATAGCTACAAGGTGTTAAAATAATAATAAATAAAAATATTGTAATTAGTCTTGCCAATTAAAAGATAAAATTTTTTGAGATTGACCATAGACAGAGTCTACATGAACACGGGGGGAGGGATAGAAACAGTTTGCATCCAAATTTTTTGAAAGGGGGGTGGGGGGGGGGTGGGGGGTAGTATAAATTTATTGGGAGGTTATGATCAAATTTTTAGATGAAATAATAAGCGAAAGTTCTGACACTTTTCTGACACCGTAGATGATAAATTCGTATTACCCATTTCGGTCCTACAAAGTAATTTTTTAAAAAGCGAACAAAATATGATGCTGTAAAAATTAATACTTCAATTATATACATAAAATAATACAATGATATTGCTGATCATCGCCCAAATCTATATTTTGCAAACAATCCTAGACATTATTTTTCAAATAAAACTTTCTGCTATCCTTCTAAATAGTTCGACATTCTCAGCAAACTCATATTTATGCCTAACAATATGCGTAATCATGCATTCACTGTAAATGAGGGGATTTTTAAATGAATTCATGATCTAGAAATAATTCTTATTCACAATTTGATATTGGTAGTAAGGCTAAAATAATTTAAGTTATTTTAATTAAAAATGTATGAAAGGAGTACCATTATAATTAAAAAAGTGCAATTAATAATGTGAAAACATTTAGGAGGTAGGCATAGGTTTTTGAAGGTAGTTTGCATCCAGTGAAAATCCTGTCTTGTATACGCCGACCATAAACTACCTAAATTTTAAAAAGTCAAAATTTACCAAACTTAACTCAACTACCACAATAAATTTCTGAAATATACCATTAAAACTCCCACATTCTAAAAATTTTTAATAAAAATATCATATAATTTATTGTCTAAAATAATTCAAAAAAAAATCAATTTCCACTTCTGTTGGGTCCTCTGCAGTGCTCTTTGTTGTTTTAGCTGATAACAAATAAAATTCGAAATTTAATATAATTAAGAGCAACATTAGTTAATTTATATAAATTAAAATAAAACCATCATTTAAAATTTTTTTAATGATAAAATACCCAGTTATTAGGGGATACTAATCAAATGGATCTAGATATAAATACATCGTTTAAACACCTATCTCGATACAGATATGTACTTACATAAGTATATAATTTTTATTCTAGTTATGTAAGGTGTGCATAATGCTTAATTCAAGATTCTATTGTTAAAATTCATATTTCGAAGTGAGCTCAAAAATTTATTGAGCTGAAATCCCATATATATACAAGTATATTTGGCAATCCAGCGCTGTTATATATATGTAATTAATGTACATTGTCAAGAGTAGTTGAGCTATACTGATGAGACTCAACTAAGCCAAAACCGGTCCATAGTTATGAAATTGATATAATGTATTTTTTTTTAAATTTTCTATACCCTATTCAATAAAAAAATTAATATAGACTGTAATTTATTTAAATTTACTTAAAATTATAATAAAAAAAGAGATTCTATGATCTCCATCTATACACTGAATTGCCCCAAATTATTATTTTGACATAAAATTACCAGGTATATCATAAAATTTAATAAATAAATGCTTCTAGCAATAAAATTATTGTGTATAAAATTGGTTATACATACATTAGTGTTGTTAAACGGCTCGTTTTGAGCCGATTTTTTAAAACGGCTAACTCAATATTTTAGGCAGAAAAATATTGCCTAAGCCTTGAGATTTCGATAATATATGTCTAAACCTTTGTTCCTTCTGTGAGCAAAATCTTCAGGCCTGCGTAATATTTTTCTGGATATAATATTGAATTAGCCGTTTTTAAAAATAGGCTCAAAACGAGCCGTTTAACAACACTACATACATGCCAAACCCCGTCCTCACCCAATAAAATTTCGCCAGGAAGGGGGGGAGTATACATTTTCCTATCCTTACCTTACATTCATAGTTGCGGCAAAGTATGATATAAATATATAATTTTAATATTTCGCCATGAATTCAAGCTAACTGTGAAAGCAGGGTTAGGAAAATCTTATATTTCTAAATAAGCACCCATATCTGATTTCATAATATGACCCCCCCCCCCCACCACCCTCAATCAAAATTCTTTTGTCACATAAAACTGACACGAAGAAGAAAAAAAATTAATTTTTATTATCAATTTTTTTATTTTTTAAGTATAATAATTCTTCACAAAAAATATAAAACGAGAAAAACTCGGCTAACATTTATGCTATTTTATTTATAAATAGTATAATTTATATTTTATATATAAAAAAATTCGAATAATAATAATTGATGGTATTTTTATTTATTACAATTACATAAACAACACATCTATTTATTTTAATGGAGGGGGGGGGTGTAGAAAAGATATTTTTACAATGAATGGAGAATGATCTGGGTGTAAATAATATAAATCTTTGATAAGATGAAATAACATAATATAATAAATTATATAAAAGTTGAATCTCATAGATAACAGCTCTTATTTTTATTTGCCTTATATGAGCTGGTTATGGAACATTGTTAGGTGATAAGCTGTAGTATTTTTTTTTTAAATATCTAAATTATATTATAATACTAATAAAAAAAAATCATAAATATCGTTATACGATTGATCATTCATTGATTTATACGTTGTTTGAAAACATTTTTGCAGCGTATCTGCTCACAAAGGGAAACATTAATAATCATTTATAATAAAAAGTGAAATGAAAATAAATAATGAGATTGAAGGGGAGAAAATAAAACCTATCACCCATCTTGACCAAAATCTTCGGAGAATTTCTTTAATTTAACCAAATCTAATTCAGTAATTGTCGGTTTTTGTTTGGAGAGTGATTGGAATATATCGACCTGTAAAAAATATCAAATCAATAAATAGAGTTCAGTAATTTATTTTTTTAAAAAAAAGTTGAATATAAATCATTATCTTTTTACTTCCAATGGAATACGTTATATTTCTTTATTGTAAATATATATAAGATAACATATTTCACTTAACTTTCCCATCAGATATATATATAAAAGGCATTATATATATTCTCCTGCCAATATCTGCTTTCGGTTCATATCATAACTATTCATATTTTTATATATTTTGATACCCTGGTAACTTGAGGTTCTAACAATTTATCACCAGGGACATTCATCCATGACATTTCCATTGCTCCGACGTCGCCCGGTGAGCAAGGGGTAAGGAGGTCATTAACTATAATAGCCGGATCCTTACGGGAAGGACCTCTAACCTATAAAATTAACATTATATAGAAGTATACAGAAAAACATACGGTAAATTACAGCTGTGAAATTACAAAAAAAGACCCAAAGGAAAATTTAAAAGCTTGATTAAAAAAAAACTTTTTTGAAATGGGTAGCTGATTGAACTTTCCTGATTGGTTGCATGAGTGAGTCCCTAACGACCTGATGAATGTCGGAGCCAGAATATCTAAATTTAGCAATAAAAAATTTAAAAGTGATTTTTAAATCCTCTCTCTCTAGTATCAAATTTTAGCATACATTCATTTTAATTCACTTGCATTCTTTCTAAAGTGTTTTATTTTCGAGGATTAATATATACCCCTCGGTTCGTCTGCCTAGTTCAGTATAATCGTTTTCCGTTATGTTAGACGGTCCCATGTAAAGTTTGAACATTTGAACGCGTGCCGGATAATCAGGAAGCGGAATGTAGATCCTTTTCTCGAACCTATAAAAAAATGTAAATGTTTTTAATATGAGAATCGCCATTTAAGACCATAATATCTAACCTTCTCCTGATAGCCGAGTCGAGTACCCAAGGAATATTAGTAGCACCCAGAATCAATACGCCATCGTTATTATTTCCTACACCTATTTTTTTAAAAAAAGGTATAAACAATAATATGTTTATTTAAGACGTAAAATTGATGCTAAGATTAACATAAAAAAGCAAAAAATAGAATTGATATTATGATTCGTATCCGATAATAACTAGATTTTAATGGCATTTCAATCATTAAATAATATTTCCACTATTCTCAATGTTCATTTTATTTGTAATTCTATCACATTTTATAAATAATAACTTTTATTAGTGCTTCTCTCTTATGAAATAATAATATCATCAAAAAAAAATTATATAAAATTACATTATGATGTTAGCTATAACAAGTTTCTCGTTTTAATATTTAAACTGAAAAATATGATATTAATCATTATATAAGATATTAGACGCTGGACAAATTTAATAAAATAAGTGAATCAAATGCGAGGCCATGGACATTAATGTTATCATCTTTCCTATGGGTTCAAAATTTCCGTAAATTCGAAAGAGAATTAACGGGCATTGAAAAAAAAGTGCGAAATATTATCCTTCATCAAAGAATTATATATATATATACCTTCGTGGACGCCAACTAGCTGTAAATATTATTTATCGATTTAATATGGAGTATATAAAACGAATATTGGTTAGATTACAATCTGTAGAAAAGATTACTCGATCTGTATTAACTCAAATATTTGGCATCAGGATTGATTTACTAACGTTTATCAGCACTATAAAATTGATTTAAGTTTTCTTATGATTTTTTTTTGTGGGGGGTGGGGGAAGTGGCATGTACAACCATTAATAATTGAAATGACTGTTGTGTGGAAGGGGAGGGAAGGCAGGAGATTGGAATAAAGCAGGCTCTAAATATTGATATAATCATATGCTCAATTTTGGCCACTTAAAAGACATTTTTTTAAAATAAATATTAAAATTAGGGTAACCTTGCATTTGTACCAAAAATTCGGTCTTTATCCTGCGGGCCGATTCGCTTTCTTGCTCGGAACGAGAAGAGCAGAGTGAATCGAGTTCGTCGATAAATACTATGGATGGTTTGTTTTGTCGCGCCATTTCGAAAAGATTTTTCACTAACCTTTAATTTATTAATGAATAATTTTTCAAAATGGAGGGGGGGGGGCTCTTAAGGATCTGGAAGAGGAAAAATCTTAGACCCTAAAACAATCCGAAATTAATGAAAGGGGGAATGGAATATTTTTTATAATCGCCAAGGAACTGAATCAAAAATAAAATTGTTTTGGATCTAAGATTCTTGCCTGTATAACTTAGGTCATCTGAAAATAAACAAAAAAATCCGATTTTTTTTGTTGTTGTTGAGATTCAAAAATCTTTTTTCTACTACCCAAACCATATTCGAATCTAAACAGAGTCCCTTATTTAAATCATCGATAATTTTGAATTTTTTTTCCTTCTTCCAATTATGTAGGCGCACCTAAGAACAACCAAATAACAATTCTTTTTCTAAAACGTTTAAATAATGCAAACAAAAGTCGGAAATTCATTTTATATAAAGGTGTGGGTAATGTACGATACTAGTGTTCCAAGAAGTAATATACAATGATAATCAACGAGACAAAAACAAAATTTTTTTGAACTCATCATGATACGTTTAAAAGGACAAAGATTTTTTTTTGTAATTTGCTCTTTTCTTTACTTTTCGCTTTCCCCTAGCCATTTGGAGACGAGATCTGAAGACGAAACGGCGAAAAATGTCGAATTGGAGGCCTCGGTAGACACGGCCTTAGCAAGGTATGATTTACCCGTCCCAGGGGGCTTTTTGGAATAAAATAAATTATATTTTTAATTTTTAAATTATATTTATAATTTTTAAATTGTATTTATAAAATTTTCTATCTGCTAAATCCTATCAGCAATATAAGATTTGAAATCTGATTTTTAAATAGTTTAAATCAAGAAGGGAGGGGGGGAAATTATTTTTCTGGTCACCCCCCCCCTCATTCTCCAATAAAATTTTCTTTTCTCCATTTTTTTTATTTATTTTTTATTTCTTTCATCATATTTTTTACTCCGAAAAGCAGAATTCCTTTCCACGGTTTACGCTTTTCTGTAAATAAATGAGGGAACTTTATTGGTAGTATGACTGCTTCCTTAAGTGCTTCTTTAGCGCCCTCTAAGCCTATTATGTCCGACCACTTCACGTTTGGTTTTTCGGTTAAAATAGCTCCTTAAAAATATATATTTTAGACGAAAGTTTGAACATTATTTAACAAAATTCCAATGTTTTTTTGGTCATCTTATACAGGGATTCATACCGAACCTAAACCGAACCATTAAACCGCTTAAAACCGGCATATTTTATCGATCCTAAACCGCTAAAATTTTTTATAGCCGACCCTAACCCGTACCGCTAAAATGCCTATGAACCGGTTCGAGTCTCATATTATGCTTAAAATAATGTGTAAGTTATTACTAGTATATTGGAAAAATTTTAATAATATTCAAATTGTTTTTAAAATTATCATCAATCACATTTGATTGATAAGTGTCTAATTTTTATAAACTTTAGTATATTGCCATTTTACAACATTTTTTAAATATTTCTTCAATATATAAATTATTTACATATAATATTAAAAATGATACACCAATCTGATATCATACTGGCAGTGCCGGCTACACAAGTTAGTGTGGAAAGATGTTTTTCAACAATTAAATTTACATTATCTCCTTATAGATGTAATTTGAGTGAGACGTATTTTAAAAATATATTAAATGTGCGGCTTAATAAAAAAATTTTAAGTAATTATTCATAATAAATTAATCTTTAATATTTATAAATTAAATATTATTTTATAATGTGTATAATAAAAATGAAGGTTTTATGTATGTGTTTTTATTTAATTATAAAATAAATAAAAAATTCTTCCTTATACATATTTCGAATGTAAATTTGAATATAAAAGTGTTCAAACCGGTTTCTGGAGGTTCGAACCGAACCAATATTTATACTTTTTTACGAACCGAACCTAATTCGTTATTTTTATCCGAACTTGAACCGAACCGATAAAACCGCAAAATTATTATGCATAAAAAAAGAAGATTATACGTTAAAAATGAGATTAAATAATTTACAAAGTAACTAGTAACGTAATTAGTTACTCTTAAAAATGTAACGGTAACTAATTTGCTTATAACTCGTTACTTTTCGAAAGTAACCTTTAACAGCATTGAATTTATAAAATAACCTTGTAATTGGCTCATCAATTTTTTCTTATCGGGGTCCTCTTCATCCTCACTGTTATTATTATAATTTCCATCTTTGCTATAATACAAAAAAATTAAATAAATTATAATATAGTATTTTTTTAAAAAAATAAATTAAAATATAGTATTTTTTTAAAAAAATAAATTAAAATATAGTATTTTTTTAAAAAAATAAATTAAAATTTAGTATTTTTTTAATTGAAATTTAGTATTTAAAAAAAAATTTCAACTTTAATATACGAAACTTCCCAAATGCAGACAAATATGTTAAGTAGTTTCCGTAAATATGTAAATCGTTTTAAATGCAAAATAAATTTAATACATTTTCCTCTCTTCTTACAGTTCGTGTGACTAAGATTTTAATGACTAATTTATTCAAAAATAAAATCCTAAAGTTGTTGAGTATAAGTAAATCACCATTAACCCGATAAATGCTTTTGTGATCGTGACTAGGGAATTAAACATTATATGCCGAAAGTCTTTATCATAATAATACCACGAATTTCTGAGAGGCAAATTTGGCAACTAAGTTTTAAGACTTACAAGAGATGTAGGTGGACAGAATATCGTTAATCAATATTCTTACAGACACCTCAAAGTTGGCACTATGGTCGTTCAAATCAGAGGTTTATGAGCTGCTCAAGGAGCTTCAAGCCATATTCTATACCAGGGGTTTCCCGCAATTTTGAAATATTATTTTATAAATAATACTTGATTCGTTAATAAAACTATTTATTTAGTATAATTTGTTTTTGGCCTGGCCAAAAATATCGACGTCTTCTTTTGTTCATATATATTAATATAAGGATACATTCTACCATTCATTTACGAGTGAAAGATTGCATCATAGATAGCACCATTATACAAATTTTTTTAAAGAAGGGAGAAAACTTCAGGATATATATTTTCTCAAAGCCCTTGATGAGTTTACCTTAGAAATAATGAATTTATTCTTAGATTAGGCTATTATTCTCAAGTTGAAGTATTTGTCATGTATAGCTATTCTTATCCTTCAAAATGTCTCATCTGAGATGCCAGTTTAAGGATATCCCCGAATAATTTTCCCTTAAATTCTGGATTTAGCATAATTGTTTTAAAGAAAAATAATTCGATTTCAATAATGCAAAAAATGTATCGGAACAGATACAATCTTCAAGTCTTTTATTTGACTAACTGCAATTCAGAAACAAAATAAAAATTTAGTTATTTCAAAAGTAAAATATATTATATTCCTAATCACTAGTTGTTTAGAGGAAACATTTTTATAACTCTAAAAACATGATACCAAAATAAATCCACTCTCATGATTAAAAACGGTGGGGAATTTTTTTGGATGATTTTTGTGAATTTGAAAGCATGAAATGTCAATTTTTAAAAAATATTTTCTTTGGTCAAAAAAGACAAAAATGTAGTAGATAGGGGTTAAATAAATGTTTGATTTAGTTAATCTCCCTTAAGTCTCTATTGTAAGGTTGTATCCAGCATAAATTTTGAGTTTTATTTCTTATCAATCATATTTTATGAAATATGTAATTTTTTTTTATATTTAAACTATTTTATTATAATTTTATAGATACTAGCAATTATTCAGAATAGTCATATAGGGCTAGAATTGTGCGCTAATAAAAAAAAATCGTGACGGCGTTATGCTTTAAAACTATAACATGTAAAGAAAAATAATTTGTCTAAATTTGAAGGGTATAGCCAATGAATTCAAAGTTAGCCAAGCGACTGAAATAACACGCCCAATGGGAGTGCCTATAGCCGTGAAACATGATATTTTTTCGCTAGAATAGAACTGAAAGTCTAATAAATTCTAATATTCTCTTTTACAGGTAAAGATGGAGGGGAAAAAAGAAACATTCTTGCCTTTTTCAAAATTTTTCAGAAAATTGTGAAGAGATATATCAGTTATCAATATCATTGGCGATGTAGATATAAATCTATGACTACATTTTTTTTAAAATCCGCTATATTTTTAAAATAATGGAGTTGCAGGAGATCTTCCTAAAAATCTCAATCAGAATTATATAATTTTAGTTCATGTTTCTCCATTTTATTTAACGTAATAATAATAATTGTGGAAGGCCTTTACTTGTTTCATTCATAAATTATTGCAACTTTTTTTAAAAAAAATGCTATGCCAGAGATGTAGAAAAACATCTAATTTCTAAGTTTATCTCATCGTATTGATCATTCTTCAATGCAAGGATTTTCATTATTCGGATCATCTACCATATCCAAGGTGGTGTCTAATGTTTCTGTGAATTTCCTATTTAAAGAACTTCTTTTAAAATATGTCTTAAATATTAATTTGGCAAAAAATTCTTCAATTCTTTTGTTAAAATTTTATTCCATTTACAGTGGCATCTTCTCATTCTATCATGATGCCGAGACATTTTTTATTAGACCTTAAATTGATTGATTAGGCTCAGGGTTGAGCAGTTATTATGAATACTTGAATTTAAAATACTAAAATACAATTTTATTCAAATGATTCACAGAGTATTTAGTATTTCTAAAAATAATAAAAATATTTTGCATTTTATTATGATTTAAAATATAAAAAAATATTGTAAAATGAATTAAATTTATCATAAGCATATCTGTATTTCCTATTTTTAAATAATATGAGCAATGTTCATAATAAAAGTTGAAAAAGATGAAAAAGAACTAGAATATATGGATTCAAATTCCACAAGGCATCTATAAATATGCCTACAAATCAATTAAGTTATATTACCATGTTAAAGAAAGTTAATCAAAATATTTTCCACAATGGAATACAATCAGTGCCCAACTTTTAAAAAAAATGGAGCACTATCCTCCAATTTTATATCAATTTTAAATATAAATAATTATATCTCAATCTCGTATATTAATTTTTTATGAGTCAAACATAACAATATGGCCTGCAGGAAATGAGTCATACAAAGTGGGTGAACCAAACAATATGGTCTATAACCAATCAGATTGAATCTAGTCAAAAATGACACAAAACTTTTCATTGGCCATACCGCAAGACCTCGCAATTACACTTATGCCTTCATTTATTAAGTGTAAAATATATAATTTGTAATTATAAGATCTCAAAATTAGAATCCAAATTATCTGGCCATATTTAATTTAAATGAATGTAAGCTTAAATGGTGCATTAAAATGTAATGTATTTTTTTTGTTTTATATATATTATAACTCTGTCTAAGTATTATCTATAAATCTCCTAATTAAAGGGTTTTTTTTTAAATATAAGAGAGCCTAGCTTAGTATTGGTATAAAAATTTATTTCCAAAAGGTATTTATTCATCAACATTTTTTTTCAGGTATTTATAATTGCATACATTTTGTTTTTCCCAACCCAAGGAAAAAGATTGAATGTAAATACATAAAATTAGAAATATTTTTTATATAAGATTGTTTTTTATTAATATGAATAATTTTTAAAAATTGTTAAAAGAAATCAAATATAGAATAAAATTTCTTTAAAAAAAATCAGGAGGTGACAAATAATGGCAATAAATAGCTAAAAAATTATTTGCTAGTTCCTTCAGTCAGAATTTTCAATGGGGATAATAAAGGTAAAAAAATTTATTGAAATTATGATATAATATTTTTTCCTTCCAATTGTAAATTGGCATAAACCAGTTTCACTTAATTTACTAAATGTTAAATTCTCTATATTCATATGCTATTGTGCAATAATTCGAATAAAATAAAAATGAAATTATCCAAGTGATTGCTAAATATTAATGGATATTAATATAATATAGAAAGAATTTAATAATAAAATCAAGCCACACTCCAGCCTCAAATATTCAAGGTTTGGTAAAAAAAATCAAATTTGCAGTACTCTAATAGATATTATTTAATAAATTATGTATGATATTATTTATTATATAAAATTTAAAAATAAACATTCATATTTATTTTGCCCAGAAGCATAAAATTTAACCATCTGCTCTATTTCTAAAATTTGATAATTATTCACATTATCATGACTAACAAAATAAAGATAAGCAAATATCAAGGACACAGAATATTTTCAATATTATTAATAAAACTAATGTAATTATAACTTACTCTTTGTGAGATGAATTTGAGGTTTCTCCAGCTTTCAATGGTTTTTTTTGGTGTTTCTGTTTGGCAATATATTGTTTTAATTTTTCGGCCCTATTGAGATATTCATTACATTTAGAGCGTAAAGTTTCCTTTGATTTATCATTTTGGGCCTCATCTGATTGTAAAAAATATTGAGAAAATTTAAATCTTTCCAAATTTAACTAACATTTGATTGCATGTAAAAAATATTCAACAGCAAACTGATAAAGACGTAAAGCTTCTTCATAATTTTTATTTTTATCTTCTTCAGTAGCTTTATTAACCAGTTCAATGGCCTTCTATTTTTTAATGAAGCATTTTTAAATTATAAAGCTACAATAAAACTTGAAGGGTTGATGCCATATGATTTTAGATGCAATTTTGAATATATGTTGCGTAATAAAATAGGATAGGTTAATAATGACAGGTAATTGGTGACAACTGTCATCTATATTTATATAAAGTACAAGTATTATTTTGTAATATATATTATTCTGATAATAAATAAAGAGATTCAAATACCTAAAATATTTAGCATGTTATTTAAAGAAACAAAATATAAGGTCAACTCGGGATTTTTTTTATAAAGTGGCAAATCTTATTTACGTCAATGACATGTCATTGGTTTACGTATTGTTTTCGATTTTTTGTTTCTTTAAATAAATTTTTCCCAGATGTGTATAAAAATTTAAAAAATTTTATCTCTAAAATTCAGCGAAATGGGCTTTTTAACTTCCTGATGCCCATATGGGTTTAGCATGGAACTAGCTTCATGTGCGCACAGGTAACTGCAGCCTGCCAAAAAATTGGTGTATGATTCTTAATATTTTAAATAACATTCAAAATGTTTTTACGGTTAGATGGGTATGTGAATAATTAAGCATTTTTCGTTGCTTTTATAAAAGGGCGAAAGCAACAATTTTAAAAACTGAATATTGTATTATATCTAACAACATCTTATCTACTCTTAAACATGGTGAAAAATTTACAACAATAATAGCAATTATTTGAACATCTACGAGGCAGTTTCGCATTTAATAAAATATTCAAGTATATAAATTTTATATTTCTTAAAAATTTCAAAAAATGTATATATATATACCGGATTTTTTATAAATTAGGCAAATGACATTCTCTAGCAAAATAAAAAGTTTAAAAAGATAGCTTTAACAATAATATGTTTAATTGATCCAAATATATGTATGATAATCAATCAATTACGATAAATTGTAAACAACAAAAATTAATTTAAAGTTAATGCTAAACCACACGACCTGCTAAATTTGATAAACGCGATCTAATATAAACCATAACCATATATTTATTGTATTAACCTGAGCTAACCGGTAACTCGAGCCATGAGTTTGATATCAGTCTAATAGCATATTTTATTAAAAATAATAGATACTTATTAGTTGCTTTGCATTGCTCTTATACGCTAAGTATCTGTTAGATTTTACCGAGTGTAATGGAGTTAATATCTAATAAATTGTAATATTTCTCATAATCTAATATTGTGCTTTTATTGTTGCACTAAAAGGATTATAATTTTATTAAAATATATTTTTTTTGTTTTTTATGTTGAAAGAAATATGACTTTTCTATTTCGTTTTTTGCCCATACCATCGAGTTTTTTTGTTGCTTTTGCATACACTTAGATCATAGGTATTTGGGATATTAGCCCCCTCAGGGTTTGAAATCAAGTTATTAACGTTTGAATGCCTTTCCAACTTTTTTATATTAAATTAGGGTGAAAAAAGAACGTGTTCGTCAAAAAATGAATAGATTTAAATTCAAAATTAGTCTAAAATAAAAGGAACGTCGTTCATAAAAGTAAAACTCAATATCTTCACTTTTGTAGAATTCATATCATATATGTATTTTTAATCCATCATATATTAAAATAATAGAACATAAAAATATGCAAAGAATTATATATAAAAAAAATATGTATAATAGATTTTTAAAAAAGTTAGATTAGCTCCTTTGGAAGGAGGCTTTTAATGAAACTGATGTAATTCAATTTATGAATGGAAATGGAGAGTCTTTAGGTAAAAAACTTCCCTAGGTTCATCAGTGATTTTACGAATAGGAGAACCTAGTTCTTCCAGGAAGGTTAAATCATGCCCACCAAATGTGGCTAATGTAAATGAGATTATAGATATAAAAATGTGTTCATTGAATATTTCCGAATATTTATTAATTTTGAGTCCTTTTCGTTAGAAATTCTTAAAGTAAATATTTAAAAATACTTAAAATTATTTAAAATTCTGATATAAGTTTCCAGCAATTCAGGGCCATCGCTAGCCTTTACAATCTCAGGTCAACTAAAAAAATTTTATGGGGGCCGAAGTTCCCCATACCCCTTAATTTGCATACCGTTGGCCCGCTTTTACCTCGCCTTCGGTCGGGTTTTATATTAATTTATTATACTTAAAATTTGATAACTCTGAACAATTATTCTGAATTTCATATTTTGTCATTTATTATATTATGCATTCTAAACTAGCATATAAATAATTAAAACAATACAAGACATTTCTTAAAATAATATTTTTTAATACAAAATCTGATATAAAATTTCTTAGATTGCTGATATAAAATAATTTTCGTCTAAAGAATTATATGTGAATAAAAAGGCTAATTAATTCCTACATATGCCTCAATTGATAATGGTTTTTAAAAACCACATAATATAATATAATTCTTGCCAACTTACAATGACAAAAGGTCATGAAACTAGTATAACTCTCTGTTACCATTTTAGACAATGTTTTATAGAATGGACTAATAAAATTTTTTTTTATAGGTTTAACCAAATCAACAATTCATATGGTGGTTAATAATGTTGTTAAACGGTTTGATTTGACCCGATTTTTAAAAACGTCTAACTCAACATTATAGCCAGGAAAATACTGCCTAAGCGTCGAGATTTCGCCTAGATGTTCAATCATATGTGCCATCTATGAGCAAAATCTTTAGGCTTGCATAATATTTTTCTGGATAAAATATTGAGTTAGCCGTTTTTATTAATCGACTCAAATTGAGCCATTTAACAACACTAGTGGTTAGAGCTTATTCTTAGATGACATGATGGAAGCTAGATAAATAATCGAGAAAAAAATTGTGAGATATTAAATTTCTAAAAGATTATCTTCCATTTTTAATGATATATAAACGACTACACAGTTGACCATTATTGCTTATCTAAAATATGCAATCATATGCTCTCAGCAGCTGTAGTAATAATCTTAAATTACATAGCCACACAAATAATAGATGCTGGCTAATTTGCAGTGATAACCATGTCACTCACGATGTTAACTCATATCAGAATTTATTGTTAGATAAATTGATAAATTGATAAAATAAAAACACTAAAAATCTTTAGAAGAAATTATACAAATATATTGAAGCCTTAAGTTATTTACACGGAAAGGGCCATATTAGAAATAAAAAATTTTGTACCTATAAGAACCAGAATGATATGGTAAAAGCAATTAAGATTTTATATATTATTTTCGCACTCGCACCTCCTCTAGTTGGTATATTATATCTTAAAATAATAGTAGTTTGTAATAATATCAAAAATATACTCGTATTAAAAATTTAACTCAAAACAAATTTTCAAATAAGAAAAAAATAGAAAAACACGTAAAAAAAAGAAAAGTTATCTAATTTATTACATCCATTGTGGGATAAATAATAAGATGTTTAATTTAATAATATTTTAAAACATATAGATGGCGTTAAAGAGCTGAATGCATTTATTAATTATATTTATTATCAAAAGCATTTATTAGTAAAATTTATTAAAATATCCTGTAATATATTTTATAACTGTCAAATACCTCTGTAAAAGTTAAATTTTACCTAATAGTTTTGTTGATTAATTTAAATAGTTAATCTTATATTATTAATTGTTATGTTTGATATAATTTAACTATTTCAATTACCATAGTCGACTTTGGTTATTTTTAATTTACTTATTATTCACTAAACGTGATTGTAAACATTTATTATATTTTTCAATTAACTTATATATATATACTGATATATTTTTAGTTCTTTAAGATAGAATAAGAATAAAATATTTTAAAAAATAATTAATTTGAATAGCTTACTTCATGGTGCCCCGGTTACGGTGGTACGTTTCTTCGTTTTCTTTTTTTAAAAAAAATATATTAAAAGTTTAAAAATTAAAATTATATCCTTACCTTGAAAATAAAATTATAAAAGAATTTATCCGTTTTTTTTGTCGATTTCTTTTGTAAAAATAAAAGTAAAGGAATTACTTATCAAATTCGTCGTTCGATATTGGAGATGATAAAAGGACATATAAAATTTTTTTGACTTTTCTTTTCGATAGTCAAAATTTGATCCAAATTTACAAAATTATTAAAGGTAAAAAAAATAAATAAAATAAAATATATATATATAAATAAAAGAGTAATATGATAAAAAATAGTTTTTCATCAAAATCTTTCAATTTCTACGTTAGGATGTTTTGTTTCAAAGCTTTTAACATACCGCACTGCATAATTATTGATAAGATGTTGAGGGAAATGGGAGGATGCAGTAGATTCTCTTATGTCCGAAATCGAATGAAATTCACTTTTACTTTAAAACCCTCCGAGAGATGATCAATACTTATACGTCTCTTAATGGAAAGCCTTACGTTTTTGATGAAAATAAATTCATTTTTATATTTTGTGCAATTATGGAATATTAGAAATTAAATGTTAAATCTTAAATATCTTTGCAAACATTATACACTTTATATATTTGACATACTACATTTATAGGGTATAGAAAATTTTCCCTATGTTACGTTATTAAATATAAATTTATGCGATGCTTAACAGACAGTCTATAGAATATCAATAAAATTTTTTTTAATTTTCCTTCATAACTTAAAGTAGTATGAAATTCTTTGTGACGAATCAAGTCTAGATATTTATAGATAGTTCAAATTAATACTTAGTGGACTAAACCCTCTTTCGAATTTGAATTAGAATTTTTATAAACTATTGAAACTTAGTGGACCATATTCTCTTGATTAAAATTAAAATTTATTAGACAACTTAAATTTGATTTTAATGGACTACAATGTTTTGCTTTTACGATTTTAAATATTGAAAGTTTACTTTATTTAAATAAAATTTTATCATGGACAAAAATTAACTCTTACACACACTCAATATGTTCCTAAATTTCCCAAGTTATCAGGAAAATTATCTGAGACTTATCTTAACCTAATTGAAACATACTTTGAGGGACATATTGAGTCAGACTCATCTAAAGTTAGGACACTACTATGTAGCTTTGAAATTGTAGACCAAGTTACGTCGATATGTTCTAAAGCACAGTTAAAAGCCTTTAATATTGTTTTTGGTAAATTGAAACTA